GAGAGAATAAAAAGACGGAGCGTGAACTAAATACCAGCCAAACAGCTGCATGTACCTAGGACAGGCTGGTAGAGATTTCACGGCTTGCTACGCATACGGGCTTTTGACAGTAAGACAGCTGGAAAGGAGGGTGGCGATAGGACGACACGATACGGGGAAGCAACGCATGCGATTTGCCAAAGCTACGACGCCCACATGCGCGCGTCGTGCCCTGGATGCGAGCCATATGCCTGAATTCGTTGCCGCCTTTTAAAAAGGGTTCCATTTCCAGTCTCCGTGTGGGGGGACTTTAATCCATAACTATCGCCAGCTTTGGGAGTTTCGCACTCTGTCCCCCCCCCCCCCCCCTGGCGCGCGGAAAACGCTCCTTTTCCCTTGGCCGTTTGTAGTATCCCTCCAGCCCTTATTCCTCCTAGCTGTATATGCTGATCAAGGGGTTTGTCAATTTCAAGTCAACTTCGGGCCTTTTAAATTGCTATTCCGACCACCCGAATCCGCACAAAACTGCACCAGAGCGGCACCATGTCATCGTCGTCCAATAAAATTACAGACAGGCGGATCGCCGAACTAAAGGCGGTCGTTCAGAATCGGGACCAGGTTAAAGAAAAGCTCCAAAACGATCTGAAGGAGCTCGAGGACTTGAGGAAAGCGGTGGAGGACCTCGAGGATCAACTTGACGAGCTCGACAAGGAGCTTATCAGCTCCGCCGCATTCGCAGCCAAACACAAACGCGGAAAGGCAGAGGTCAAAAAGTCGACAGCTGATCAAATTTCGGAAAAAAAGCTTCTCATCCAACGGTGGGAGGAGCAATATGAAGACAGAAAACAGGAGCTGGAGGACCTCGAAGCAATGGTGGAAAAGCTGCAGGAGTAGGATGGCTAAGCTGGAGGCGATTGGGAAACCTCTCGTCTATCCTGGTTCTATTCTGTTCCCCAAGCCTTGCTCCTTTGCCTTTTTTCCATGTTAAACAGCTTGGTTACTTTACGATTTTACAATGCCAAGCCGGTTCACTTCGGCATCGTACAAGTTCCATGTGGCGACCTTTCTGGCAACCAAATCCCTGCGGCGTGGATCCTGGTCGATAAACTGCCGGATGCGGTCGTCGCGGGTCGAAATCCGGGCATGGAGCATGATATCAAGGTGACCGTACATGG